AAAAAGTGGTAGGTCAATGATAGTATGTGAGGTTCTTCATATAAGTTTTATAGTTGTATAGTCTAGTTTCTCAGTTTTCACTAGATATTCTTGACCAGGGATCCACAGAGACGTTGCTTCTAGAATAACCCTTCTGGTTTAGATGCCGAAAATATAAGAAAGTCCACTAAAAAGCTTGACCCAAAGACACAACCTGCTCTTTATTATATGCCTGCTCCTCGGTGTTTCACATATATAGTAGCTTTGTTGACAGCAAGTTTGTTTGTATAGACCAAGAGTATCATTGTATCTACTTTGTTGCTTTCTTATAGTGTTTTTCTGTAGTTCAGTTTATTTTGTTGTTAACCAAGGGATTATCAGAAAGAGTTGAATGTTTTCATTGCTTTTTTTAATGATTAACCCCAGGTTAATCATCTAGATTTAATATCTTTTTTTAATTTTGTGATGAAGTTGATAGAAATAGAGAAGCTAGACTATACAACTATAAAACTTACAAGAAGAACCTCATATACTCTCATTGGCCCACCACTTTTTTTGAGAAAATTTTTGTATAAAGTGGACATTTTAGTTTATCTTTTCTAAATGATCGATATCATATATACCAAACAAGTCAGTATTGTTTAGGAATATGACAACAAACACATATATATATATGCCTCAAATGCAATGAATATCTGTACAAATGATGCTTCAAGATTCTGTTCCGACCTCTCTATCTTAAGTTGGTTGATGAAGTTTTTCCTATTGGGTTTTTACTTTTGCATAATAATTTAAAGAAAAATAGAAGTAAAGACTAATTTGTCTAGTCAATATGTAATTTTTCTAAACCACCCACAGGTTTATAATAATGACATTAGGATAGACAAAATTGTTTTTTGTTTTGTTTTTTTCGATATTCCTTTACCTTCTTTTTCTTTTGTATTTATATATTTTCATCATATCTCCCTATACCTCTGTGTTTTTTTTTTAGTCCATTTTATGTTTTTTCTTATTTTGCTTCTTAATGTGACAAGTAGTTTCCAACCGATGAACAATAGGAAAAAAATCTTTAGTAAGTTAAGGACCTTAAGGGAGGCCAAAAGCTACTTAGGCAGATCACATCTGGTGTGTGGGCAAATCTTATTTTGATTGTACCTCTATAGTCATTAAATAAAGTTATTGTAATTTTTGAAAGACTGATACTATAATAAATAAGGCAGGACAGCCAAATTAGAAAAAAAAAAATTTTTAAATATAAAAGTCTCTCGATATAATGAAGATTTTTTATTTTAAATATAAACTTTACTATATTAAGAGTTTTCAATATAGTGAAAATTCTTCAGCCCAACAACTTCACTATAACGAGAGTGACTTGTACTATGCAGATCATATGAAAAATGATCGACATACCCTACCCTTAATGCAGGCCGACGTTGATCTATCAGCCCGAATTAAGACCATTTCTTAACTATGAAAAATCTAATCACGAAAAAACGCGTTATTTTTTTATTTATTTTTCGGAAGAATGTCTACGCCAAAATCTGTTGAATGTGTCAACGAAGAAGAAAAGTTGATTTCTGAAAGTTGCCCATCCCCAGCACTTTCCGTATCGACCACTGCTTCTACGAATGATGGCCAAAGAAGAAAAAAGAAAAAAAAATGTATTTTTTTTTTAGTTTATTTAGTGCGTTACAACTTGATATTTAACAATAATTATTATTATATAGATCGTTCAGTTGAATCACGCTTTATGCAGCATCATCTTCTTAAACCAACAATAAGTAAAAAACCATCTATTAATGGAATTAATAAGCTCAATATTAGATCTGGAGGCTCCGTAATCAATAGAGCAAGCTTAACAAGCCTAAGTAAGGCGAGAACAAGCCTAAATAAGGCTAAAAGTCAAGGTATGAAAAAATTTTAAAAAATTATCATGCCAATCGTTATGTTAATTGACATGTTAATTGACATGTTAATTGATAATGATTTAACTAATCACGAGTATTAAATGATGTATAGATAAGAACTCTAGCAAAATTATTGGAAATGAAACTCAAGTCAGCCAACAACCATTGATTAGCTTAGATGACGAGTTAACAATGTTGAATTCTAGATTGACACAATGGTGTTTCTTGAATGCTAAAGCTGACCACGCGTTTGAGTGTCAAAAACGATCTGCGGAGGTGATCATTATATATAGTATACAAATGCACATATAATAACTTTACTAATGTGGTAATATAATTATTTAGACACAATTATTGGATGCATGGAAATTACTTGTCAAGAAACAAGACGAATTGTCAAATGCCTTAAGAAAATTCACTCTGGAAGATGATATTTCAAGGCTTGATACAACTTTGTCTTTTCAGGTGATATGAGAATTTAATGCTTTTCAATCAAAAAAAAAACCAGTTTAAATAAAGATTAACTTTGCAACGGCATAGGCGAATCTGATATTACAAATCAGCAAACATTTGGAACATTTCAAGACACGTTATGCCACATTTGCATCATCTTTGGCAAGTACTGCAACTGCAATGCCAATTTCTAATATATTGACAGAAAAATTAGGTCTATATTTATTTTTCTCAGTATTTTATTATTATTATTATTATTATGCTTATTAACAATTTCTTTTTTTTTCCAGATCAATTATCAGAGGAGATCGATATCTGTTCTAATGCTACTGCTGACCTATTGAAAAAATGGGAAGAAACATCACTGGTAGGAGATTCATCTATTGATGTCATATTTTAATATATTAGATTAATATATATTGAAAGATTTTACTTCTATTTTAAAGGTCCATGATGTCGCTAGTTCGATGCAAAAACTTTGTATCAATCTTAAGGAAGAGGTTCAAGAGTTGAATGAATGTAATACACTTTTACGTGAAATTTCAGATGCAGAAATAGTTGAAACTAGTTTAAGGATAGAAAAGATTGAAAACATGAGTAATTCTGATGCAAAATGGACCAAAATTTAATAAATGAATATTGGAATTCATTATCTACCAAAAAAAAAAAAAAAAAAAACATTGATTCAATCTGAAACTAAGGAATCACTAAATTCGACCAAATCAGACTCAATTTGCTTAAGGAAATTTTATGCACCAAAAATTGATAATTATAACAAGGAAGCCCTATTAAATGATTGATAAATTTGCTAAAATTATTGATTTTACTATTGTAAGAAAATGAAAAAATATACTACCTTTAACATTGGGTCATATCAAAAAAAAGACTATGTAATGCTATATGTCCTTGGTATTCAATTGAGAGTATAAAAACCGAAGGGTGTTACAAAATCAAGAGATATCAGTTATAATAACACCTAATCTGTTCATATACTAGTCTTGTAATTAGTAATTCTGATGTTAACCGATAAAAATCGGCTTTGTCGACTAAATCATAGTCGATTCAACTAAGGTATCAATCAAACAACTTAAAAATGAAATACTCATTTTTATGTACTACCCAGAAATTCTTTATAGAAGGTATTCAATTTGGAATGAAAGTTAATGTATATAATTGTATAAATTCTTTATTTGCACATTATTGAAATCAATCCAACAATATTTTTAAAAATATGAATCAATGTTATTAATATTTTGGAGTATCAAAAAGTAAATCATTCTTCATGCATTCATCTTGTTCATTATATTGTTCATTATATTTTTTTAACCAGTCCTTGCAGGCGATCTTGAACCAGATCCTTTAGTCGGTAAAGGACCTCCAGGCTGTTGACGAAATTGGGCTCTGAATTGCTCACGACTTCTTTCTTGAGCTGTTATTTTTTGATATTTTCTTAGCGAGGCCAGTAAACAATAATAATTAAAACTTAAAAAGCAAGCACTTACGGTTATATTGAAGTAATTTTGTGATCAAATCAGTATGAGTTAAGACCATACGTCGACAGCAATACCTCCGAAGTCCGATCGCGTCCATCGCTGGACTTAGTCAAAAAGTTAGTAATAATATACCGAAAGTAAATTTAGAAGGAAACAGTAGAGCTTGCAATTACCCTTCGTTATAGTCACTCTCAAGCATGGTTTGATATGTTTCCCATTTATTTCCGATCACTTTACCACAAGAGAAGCATCGTACAGGAATGATCATTTTAGCAAAATTGTATTTGAGTGTGGTACCGTTGGAGGATTGTTTTTTATTAACGACGATAAGTATACTGTTAATATAATAATAAGTATACTGTTACACGGAAACCATAATTTTTCCCCAGTTGTGATTGGTTAAAAATATACAAACGTACGATATCGATACGTATACATACGTATATATATCAGATAATAGATCATTGCAAATTATCTATAAAATTAGGTCGAGTTCATAGTTTACCAAGATTGTATAAAATGGGTGAAACAGACATGTTATCAGCACAGTTTACCTCTGCATATAGGTATCTTAACAAGCATTCAAATATTAAGCTATCTGATGAAATCAAATTAAAGGTAATATTGTCTCTATTTTCTCTTTTGTATGTAAATTTAATTAAACATTCAACTTTTGTTATTCTTAAAAGCTTTACGGTACTTATAAAGCTGCAACGATTGGCACCTGTAATACCCCAAAACCTTCTTTACTAGATTTTAGAGGTAGAGCCAAGTGGGATTCTTGGAATGAATTGGGTGAAATTTCAAAAGAGGAAGCAAAGCAACGTTATATCGATATTTTAAGAACAAGCAAATATTGGATGGAGTAAAGATCATATGGACAATAAAGAAAGTTCATCGGATGATAGTGATGATTATGATGATGATGATGATGGAAATGATAAAATAGACAATGTAGTATTTTGCTGTTATCAAATGGTTTATTAATTGCTAGATTTGGAATCATAGTTGTTTTTACTAGGATGTGGCAAGTAGGAAGCGAAGGCTATTCCACAAGATAGATGGACATATGTTTTCACTTTGTCATATGAAGAGGTAGTGACAAAGTTAGTATTATATACTGCAATTGAATTTGTCTGAGCAATACTTTTTTTGTCATATATCAAAAGTAAAGCTCTTATTTCTTACTAAGTAAATTGACTTTATGATTATTGAAGTCATTTCATCAACTTATTGTCCAAAGCGTAGCGAGAACTTACATGTACATATAAAAGTTGAAAAATGTCTGTCTGTCTGGCATGTGACTTGTTGGTGATTGGCTGCTATGGTCCACACTAGATCTTAGATTTGAAAAATGTCTGTTTGTTCGGCACATGACTTGTTGGTGATTGGTTACTATGTTCCACACTAGACTTTTGATTTGAAAAATGTTCGTCTGTTCAGCACATGACTTGTTGGTGATTGGCTATTACGTTTCACACTAGACCTTTGATTTGAAAAATGTCTGTCTGTCTTATACATGACTTGTTAGTGATTGGTTGTTATGATTCACACTAGATCTTTGATTTGAAAAATGTCTGTTTGTCTGACACATAACTTAGTGATGATTGGTTGTTAAGGTTTATACTACAGCACTAGACCTTTGATTTGAAAAATGTCTATTTGTCCGCCACGTGACTATACTGTAATTGGTCATTATGGACTACACTAGACTTTTGATTAAAAAAATCCTACATGATATTATTTATATACATTAAAAAATAATACTGTATATATATATTGTAAAACTCTAGTTAGTTTATTTAACTAATTATTAAAATATGTTATGCTTCAAACTTACAACAGTTTCTGTTAACCTAGTATATTCTGAAATTTCTGCTAAATTTGGGTTTGGTGCAAAAAAAAACCTTTAGCAAAAATATAGAAAATGTTGATTTATTTAGTAAGTTTACAAATTTGTGATATTTATATCATAATATATAGTAAATTTATTTCTATATCTAAATTGAACTAAACTGTTGGTTTGAATTAGAATTAAATATAATTCAAGCTACAAAAATTGTTTAAAGATATATTCAAACATTCTTTTTTTTTTCTAAATAATAATAATGATGATGATGTTTTTTATATATTAAGCAAGGTTATTTATTTGAGATAAGTAAAAAATTAGAATTAGAAGAAGCTAATGTAAATGTTAAAGATGATTAGGTAATATTTAATGATTTATTTTTATTTTTATTTTTATTTTTTTTTATTTCAATACACAATTAAATAATTAAAACTTATAAAGGGATTGTCACTCTTGTATTAGGCTTATGATTGAAAATATTTGAATATTATTAAATTATTGGTCAAAAAAGGTATTGATATAAATATTTTGATAATAATTGTTGCAAATTAAAATGAAATCTGATCAAAATTAAACTAGGGACCTCTCATGCCTACTCTTAAAACTTACATCAGCAAATTTAATAATACATAATATTGTGCAATAAATTATGCAAGGTAAAAAGGCCATAATATTACGCAATATATTGCGCAATATTGCGATTATTACGAAATATTATGTAAGATATTGCGTAATATTTTGGTCAAAAAAATGTTAATTATAATCTCTGATCTGTACATACATACATACATATATATGTACGTACGTATGTACATTTTTTACTTCACCGAATCTACATAAATTTGTATAAATTAAATATACTTTTTTTTTTTAATCTTTTTTCTATTTATTAGCGTTTGTCTTTCTAATTTGGTGTCACTCTAATTTCTTGATTCACTCTAATTTCTTGGTATTGCTCTAATTTCTTGGTATTGCTCTGATTTCTTGTGCTGCTTTAGTTTCTTGATGTTGCTGATCGTTCTAGCTTAATCTGATTTCTTGAAGTCGCTCTTGCTTGGTGTTCTAATTTCTTGAAGTCGTTTTAGTTTCTTGATGTTGTTCTAGTTTCTTGGTAATGCCTTGATTTTTTAGTGTTGCTCTAGTTTCTTGGTATTACTCTAGTTTCTTGGTGTTGCTCTAGTTTCTTGGTGTTGCTCTAGTTTCTTGATGTTGCTTTAGTTTCTTGGTGTTGCTCTAGTTTCTTGGTGTTGCTCTAGTTTCTTGGTATCATTCTAGTTTCTTAATAATGCTTTGATTTCTCAGTATTATTCTAATTTTTGATTTTTTGATATCACTCTAGTTTCTTGATATCGCCCTAGTTTTCTGGTGTCGTTCTAGCTTCTTGGTATCATTCTAGCTTCTTGGTGTCGTTCTGGTTTCTTGGTAACGCTTTGATTTCTTAATAATACTTTGGTTTCTTGATATTACTCTAGTTTCTTTAATTTCTTGATATAACACTAATTTCTCGATTGCTCTAACTTTTGGTATACTCTAGTTTCTTGGTGTCACTCTAGTTTCTTGGTATTGCTCTAGTTTCTTAGTATCATTCTAGTTTCTTGGTAATGCTCTGATTTCTTGGTGTTGCTCTAGTTTCTCTAATTTCTTGGTGTCATTCTAGTTTCTTGGTATTATTCTAGTTTCTTGGTAATGCTCTGATTTCTCAGTGTTGCTCTAGTTTCTTGGTGTTGCTCTAGTTTCTTAGTGTCACTCTAGTTTCTTGGTGTTGCTCTAGTTTCCTGGTATCACTCTAGTTTCTTGGTGTCATTCTAGTTTCCTGGTGTCATTCTAGTTTCTTGGTAATGCCTTGATTTCTTAGTGTTGCTCTAGTTTTTTGGTATTACTCTAGTTTTTTGGTGGTGCTCTAGTTTCTTGGTGTCGCTCTAATTTCTTAGTATCATTCTAGTTTTTTAATAATGCTTTGATTTCTCGGTATTACTCTAATTTCTGATTTCTTGATATCACTCTAGTTACTTAGTATTACTCTAGTTTCTTGGTGTTGTTCTAGCTCTTGGTGTTGTTTTAGCTTCTTGGTGTCATTCTGGTTTCTTGGTAATACTTTAATTTCTTATTAATGCTTTGGTTTCTTGATATCACTCTAGTTTTTTGGTATTACTCTAATTTTTTGATGTTGTGCTAATTTCTCAGTGTTGCACTGATTTCTTAGTATTATGCTAAT